AACCACCCCCAGGTCCCAACACAACCACCCCCCAGGTCCCACCACAACCACCCCAGGTCCCACCACAACCACCCCCCAGCTCCCACCACAACCACCCCCAAGTCCCACCACAACCACCCCCAGGTCCCACCACAACCACCCCCCAGGTCCCACCACAACCACCCCCCAGGTCCCACCACAACCACCCCCCAGGTCCCACCACAACCACCCCCAGGTCCCACCACAACCACCCCCAGGTCCCACCACAACCACCCCCCAGGTCCCACCACAACCAGCCCCAGGTCCCTACACAACCACCCCCCAGGTCCCACCACAACCACCCCCAGGTCCCAACACAACCACCCCCAGGTCCCACCACAACCACCCCCAGGTCCCAACACAACCACCCCCAGGTCCCACCACAACCAACCCCAGGTCCCAACACAACCACCCCCAGGTCCCATCACAACCACCCCAGGTCCCACCACAACCACCCCCCAGGTCCCACCACTACCACCCCCAGGTCCCAACACAACCACCCCCAGGTCCCACCACAACTACCCCCAGGTCCCACCAGAACCACCCCCCAGGTCCCACCACAACCACCCCCCAGGTCCCACCACAACCACCCCCCAGGTCCCATCACACCCACCCCCCAGGTCCCACCACAACCACCCCCAGGTCCCACCACAACCACCCCCCAGGTCCCACCACAACCACCCCCCAGGTCCCACCACAACCACCCCCCAGGTCCCACCACAACCACCCCCCAGGTCCCACCACACCCACCCCCCAGGTCCCACCACAACCACCCCCCAGGTTCCACCACAACCACCCCAGGTCCCACCACAACCACCCCAGGTCCCAACACAACCACCCCCCAGGTCCCAACACAACCACCCCCAGGTCCCAACGCAACCACCCCCCAGGTCCCACCACAACCACCCCCAGGTCCCACCACAACCACCCCCAGGTCCCACCACAACCACCCCCAGGTCCCACCACAACCACCCCCAGGTCCCAACACAACCACCCCCCAGGTCCCAACACAACCACCCCCAGGTCCCAACACAACCACCCCCCAGGTCCCACCACAACCACCCCCAGGTCCCACCACAACCACCCCCAGGTCTCACCACAACCACCTCCCAGGTCCCACTACAACCACCCCCCAGGTCCCAACACAACCACCCCCAGGTCCCAACGCAACCACCCCCCAGGTCCCACCACAACCACCCCCAGGTCCCACCACAACCACCCCCAGGTCCCACCACAACCACCCCCAGGTCCCACCACAACCACCCCCAGGTCCCAACACAACCAACCCCCCCAGGTCCCAACACAACCACCCCCAGGTCCCAACACAACCACCCCCCAGGTCCCACCACAACCACCCCCAGGTCCCACCACAACCACCCCCAGGTCCCACCACAACCACCCCCCAGGTCCCAACACAACCACCCCCCAGGTCCCACCACAACCACCCACAGGTCCCAACACAACCACCCCCAGGTCCCACCACAACCACCCCCTGGTCCCAACACAACCACCCCCAGGTCCCACCACAACCACCCCCAGGTCCCAACACAACCACCCCCAGGTCCCACCACAACCACCCCAGGTCCCACCACAACCAACCCCCAGGTCCCACCACAACCACCCCCCAGGTCCCACCACAACCACCCCCCAAGTCCCACCACAACCACCCCTAGGTCCCAACACAACCACCCCCAGGTCCCAACACACCCACCCCCAGGTCCCACCACAACCACCTCCAGGTCCCACCACAACCACCCCCAGGTCCCACCACAACCACCCCCAGGTCCCACCACAACCACCCCCAGGTCCCACCACAACCACCCCCAGGTCCCAACACAACCACCCCCAGGTCCCACCACAACCACCCCCAGGTCCCACCACAACCACCCCCAGGTCCCACCACAACCACCCCCAGGTCCCAACACACCCACCCCCAGGTCCCACCACAACCACCCCCAGGTCCCACCACAACCACCCCCAGGTCCCACCACAACCACCCCCAGGTCCCACCACAACCACCCCCAGGTCCCAACACACCCACCCCCAGGTCCCACCACAACCACCCCCAGGTCCCACCACAACCACCCCCAGGTCCCACCACAACCACCCCCAGGTCCCACCACAACCACCCCCAGGTCCCAACACAACCACCCCAGGTCCCACCACAACCACCCCCAGGTCCCACCACAACTACCCCCAGGTCCCAACACAACCACCCCCCAGGTCCCACCACAACCACCCCCAGGTCCCACCACAACCACCCTCAGGTCCCAACACAACCACCCCCCAGGTCCTACCACAACCACCCCCCAGGTCCTACCACAACCACCCCCCAGGTCCCACCACAACCACCCCCAGGTCCCACCACAACCACCCCAGGTCCCAACACACCCACCCCCAGGTCCCACCACAACCACCCCCAGATCCCACCACAACCACCCCCAGGTCCCACCACAACCACCCCCAGGTCCCACCACAACCACCCCCAGGTCCCACCACAACCACCCCCAGGTCCCACCACAACTACCCCCCAGGTCCCACCACAACCACCCCCAGGTCCCACCACAACCACCCCCAGGTCCCAACACAACCACCCCCCAGGTCCCAACACAACCACCCCCAGGTCCCAACACAACCACCCCCAGGTCCCACAACAACCACCCCCCAGGTCCCACCACAACCACCCCCCCCCAGGTCCCACCACAACCACCCCCAGGTCCCACCACAACCACCCTCAGGTCCCGCCACAACCACCCCCCAGGTCCCACCACAACCACCCCCCAGGTCCCACCACAACCACCCCCCAGGTCCCACCACAACCACCCCCAGGTCCCACCACAACCACCCCCAGGTCCCACCACAACCACCCCTTAGGTTCCACCACAACCACCCCCCAGGTCCCACCACAACCACCCCTTAGGTTCCACCACAACCACCCCCCAGGTCCCACCACAACCACCCCCCAGGTCCCACCACAACCACCCCTGGTCCCACCACAACCACCCTCAGGTCCCACCACAAACACCCTCAGGTCCCACCTCAACCACCCCTTAGGTCCCACCACAACCACCCCCCAGGTCCCACCACAACCACCCTCACCACGAGCATCTAGCAGCAAGCTGGTGACCACTGGATTATTATGCTTCAATACATAGTGGAGTTCAAGGAATTGTTTACACACAGAAACCTGTCGGAGTAGAATATCAATTACAGACTGGTGGTGGGGGGGGGGACTACAATAGGATGAGGGACCGTCTGCGTGAAATCCAGTGGGAAAGATAAATGGAAGGGAAGACAACAACAACAAAAATGATGGACTTCTTTGCTGGTAAATGTGGTGTTGCGACGGAGCAGTTCATACCTCTTAAGAATGAGGTACATGGGAAAGTAAACCCCTGGATCATTAGGCATTTCAGGGAAGCTGAAGAAAGAACAAGCAAACAAAATCTGGAAAAAATAAAGAGAACTAGGAGCAGAGGACAATAGAGAGTTACAAAAGCGAACCAGAAAGGAATATACCCAAGTTAGGAGAGAAGACGAGAGACAGTTTGAAAATAACATTGCTGCAAAAGCTAAGGATCAGCTAAAGCTGTTCTTATAATGAGAAAAACAACAGTGCCAGAGAATGTACTGAGATTGTGGAGACAAATAGTTCTTACAAAAAATTATAAGGTCATATGTTTGGCTTTCAGGTCATTACATTAGAACCACCATGGAGGCCAAGGTTGTAAGAAGAAAGGTTGAAAGAAACAATGGATAACATTGTAATCAATGAACAAGAGGTAAGAAAACATCTGGAGGTGTTTTCTCTAGGATATGTGACAAAAAACCAATGGAGCCAGACCTAATCTGACCATGGTTGCTGAAGGAGGCTATAGACTACTTTACTGCTATAGATTACAAGGTGGAAAGGCAGGCTGGAATAATTGATAAAAAACAGAATGGGTGAGTATAATGTTTGCAGATGACGCCAAGCTGGTGAGGAATGTAAAAACAGAGGAGTACTGCAGGAAGTTACAGGAAGACCTGAACAAACTTCAGGAGTGGTCAGACAAGTGGTTGCTGGAATTCAATCCCAACAAGTGTAAAGTAAAGAAAAAGGGTAAGACAGAGAGGAGACCAAAAGGCATCTAAACCATAAATAGCAGGCAACCACAGGAATCAGAAATAGATAAAGATTTGAGAGTGAATATAATCCCAACACTAACAACGGAAGATAACACATAAACAGGATAACATCGGTAGCATATGGGACACTGGCAAATATAAGAACATAATTTAGAAAGCTAAATGAGGACTCCTTCAAGGCAAGCTACACAACATTCGTTAGAAAAATGCTGGAATATGCAGCACCAGCTTGGAATCCGCACCTTGTGAAACATAAAGCCAAAATTGAAAAAGTACAAAGCTTTGCAACAGGATTAGTGCCAGAGCTAAGAGGGTTCAGCTACGAAAGCTAAATCTCCCAACCCAAGAGGATAGAATTAATAGATGGGATATGATCACAACATACAAGATAATGAGGGGAATATATCATGTGAACAAATATAACTTTTTCAAAATGAGAGAAAGTTGGACAAGTAGAAAGGTGGAAGCTAGAAATGCAAATGAGCCGAAGGAATGTAAGAATATATAAGTTATAATTATTATTATAAAATACCAAATGGAATGCACTGAAAGATGAAGTTGTGGAAGCCACCTCCATCCACCACATCTTTAAGGCCAGATTCGACAATGAATTTGAATGTCAGAATAGTTTATTATAATGCAACAGTTATAACAAGCCTAAAAGGCAGGGCATAAAGAGGTAGACGTCAGGCCGTCGTAGACTGTTAGGTAGGTACAATCACAACGACAGTAACCCCCTCTTCCACCTCCGTCACGACCCTCCCCCACAACCCCCCTCCAATCCCCAAGGAAATCCCCCGCCCCACCCCTGGCAATGCGACTGGGTGCAGGTTAGATGATATCGACGCAGATGTGCGAGGTTCAGTACGGTCGCTGCGCTCATCGAGTGCGGACACGCCTCTCGCTGTCATCAAGACATCACCCATGTGCCACAAGCTCTTTGTCTCGAAGTTTCTTGTTACATGTTATGCGAACCACTTGAATTTTGTGACGTAACAAAGAGCCAGTGATGGAAATACGTGGCCTGTGAGTGATCCGATAAACCGAAGATAGATAGCGTGCGTGGTTTTGTGTGTGGTGGTGTTAGGATAGGTTGGCATGGCTTGAGCTTCACAGGCGCCGACTTCATCAAGTGTTAGCTCTAGGACTCAAGGGAGATGGTAAACGATACTTACGGTGCTAGGATATGTGTTGCATCAACACTCATATACACGCGTCTCTTCGTGTAACAAGTCAAGCATGGTGATGACCCTCGCCTCCACCCGCAAGTTACTCATCGATTTTCAGCAGGGAATGTGTGTGTAGTACCCTGAGGGACGTCCACACTCCGCCTGTTCGATGGTAGACAGATAGCATAAAACCCATTAGGTCGTATACGACCAAAAGCTAAAGAAGGGGAAAAAGAATAGTGGCGTAACCAATACTCCGGTTGGGGGCTAACGTTGGGCTTCCTGCCAGTACATGCTGTATGTAGCATTACTTCCATCGTGTGAGCGATTAAGCCTTAATTATCAAGCAGAAGGTAAACCTCAGCTCTTGTCACAGCCGTCAGCTGCTAAGACAAGTCTTTGTTGTCAGCCGTCAGCTGAACCAAGACTTTTTTTGTCATTCATCAGCTGATCCAAGTCTTTGTTGACATTAATCAGCTGTTTGGGCCGTGGGCAACGTTCCCAGTATCTCCCACACAACACTCTCCACACCATCCACTTAATCCCTCGCAGCAGAAAAATATTTAATTTACTTTTATTTTTAAAGTCGATGTTAAATGTAGCCATGCATTAGAGGCTGTTTAAGGTGCGCACAGGGAACGTCAGCAAGTTAGGCTTGTTGAGTTGACGCCAGCGAGAGTAGCGAACTGATACAGCAAGATAAACAAGAGTGCTGGAGAAGTGTCAACACCTTGAAGGTCTGTGTTATCACCACCATTGTCGAGTGTGCTGCTTCCTCCCCCACCAACCCTCCTCCCGCCCCAGCACTCGCGTGCACTCGCCACGCACAACGCCCAAGTGAAAGTGGAACGCCAATCGTTTATATTGTGAGTCCACATGCCGCTCGGCATTTCCGGCACGGCGTTGAGTTTTATACATCTGTAACGGAAAAAATATATATATAAAATATTAACTCTCTATGACAATAGAGATTAGTGCCTTAATTACTAGCTATAGCACCGGCCAAAATCTTGAAGCGGATTGAGTGGTGGAGGGGCGGAGAGGTGTTGAGGTGGGCGGCGGCAGGATGACTGTTCCCCAACACGAGACACAACCCAGGAAAGGCGATATGGAGGAGGAGGCGGAAGGTGGGAGCGTGAAGACCATGCCCACCCCCCCTGACGGTGGCTGGGGATGGATGGTCGTCTTCGCCTCCTTTATGATTCACGTCTTAGGTAAGTGCTCTTTTATATCACCTGTTCCCCAAATACCGTCACACTAGTGACTTGTAATGAGGAAATGATCTACAAATCCAACGGGTCAGGAATACTGTGTATACACCGAGAACTTTAATTCCTTGGTGTACCCGGTATTAAAACCAAGTTTACTTTAGGCCCGAGAATACATAGCTTCGTCTTCTCCGCGGCTTGACCTTCTTTTGATAATTACTTACCCTAGTCCCGAGAGTCGTAGTACAGTTGGCTTCGATTCCCAGGCCACACAGAAATTGTTACTTTCACCCGGTAGTAAATAGGTGCTCCCGAGTTAGGTAAATTTGTATTTCTTTTGTCGCCGGAAGCGGCTAGATTATTGTGCACCCCATACTCATCCTGTGAGTGGTAGTTTATTGTGCTCCCCATACTCATCCTGTGAGTGGTAGTTTATTGTGCTCCCCATACTCATCCTGTGAGTGGTAGTTTATTGTGCACCCCATACTCATCCTGTGAGCGGTAGTTTATTGTGCAGCCCATACTCATCCTGTGAGTGATAATTTATTGTGCACCCCATACTCATCCTGTGAGTGATAGTTTATTGTGCAGCCCATACTCATCCTGTGAGCGGCAGTTTATTGTGCAGCCCATACTCCTCCTGTGAGTGATAGTTTATTGTGCACCCCATACTCATCCTGTGAGCGGTAGTTTATTGTGCTCCCCATACTCATCCTGTGAGTGATAGTTTATTGTGCACCCCATACTCGTCCTGTGAGCGGGTAAACATTGCTCGCAGGTGCCTGGGCTCCATAGACGCGCCTTGTCCCTCTTCTCTTTAGCTGGGGAGAGCTGACTCAATCTTCAGAAATTCATGTAGCTTTCCACGACAGATCAGTGAAGGTGATTGGCCTGAGATAAGGGCCAAGTCCTTATTGGCCCTAGAGAGCCAGACCTCAGGCCTACGTGTTAAATGGTTGGCCATTGCCAAAATAATGGGTGGAGCCCTGGGGCTGTAGTAGATGGTGGGAGGAGTAATCCTTCCCAGCAATAGGTTGGAAAAACTAAATTTCATTAGTGTGTCTTGGGAGTGTATTAGGAACAGGGCCGCAAGCCCGTATCCTCGGGGCTGAGGGCAGCCATCAACATCGTGGCCGTAGTGCGGGTATTTAAGGTAGAGTAGCACTTGAGTTTTGTGTCCTCGGTAAATATCCATTGTGCCTCTAGGGAAATAGAATAGGTGATGTGTCCAAATTGTCTTAATTTACATGTTTCATAAAATAAATTGTATAGCTTGTCCAGTGGTATTCACTTAACTCCCCTTTTATATATTTTGCTACTTTGTCATTTTTAGGTGTTGTATTGGAAGCCCCCCAGGTTCTCCTACTATTAATAGATACTAAAGTTGCCCTTGGATTCAAATAAGTAACGTAAATTACACAAACTAATTTTCCAAAATTTATTACTGAAATTCATATTACCCGGAGTCCCATGGTTACTGATTCCTTGCCTTCCTGGGGGATCGGTGATTGACACATTCAGATATGGTTGGTCAGGAAGGTGGTGGCAGTGTAAATGTGTTTTGTTATTGTTTTTTTTAACTAATAACCCTTGCCCTTGGTGTATCTTCCTCATTTAATATTCCTCTTATATACGTGGCAGTCCAGTGAGGGGTCATGCTGGACTGTAACAGCGTTAAGCTGGGGTATTGAGTGAAGAGAGACGGAGAATTTCAACAGAGAGCGTATATTACGATCACGAGAGATAACAAGATAACAGGATTAATACTGGGGAACATTGGGTTATTACAATAGAGGCCGCGGTTATTACAGAGGGAAGCGGTCGTTACACTGTGAGCGGTAGTTTATTGTGCACCCCATACTCATCCTGTGAGTGGTAGTTTATTGTGCACCCCATACTCATCCTGTGAGCGGTAGTTTATTGTGCTCCCCATGCTCATCCTGTGAGTGATAGTTTATTGTGCACCCCATACTCGTCCTGTGAGCGGTAGTTTATTGTGCTCCCCATACTCATCCTGTGAGTGGTAGTTTATTGTGCTCCCCATACTCATCCTGTGAGTGATAGTTTATTGTGCACCCCATACTCATCCTGTGAGTGATAGTTTATTGTGCTCCCCATACTCATCCTGTGAGTGGTAGTATATTGTGCAGCCCATACTCATCCTGTGAGTGGTAGTTTATTGTGCTCCCCATACTCATCCTGTGAATGATAGTTTATTGTGCTCCCCATACTCATCCTGTGAGCGGTAGTTTATTGTGCTCCCCATACTCATCCTGTGAGCGGTAGTTTATTGTGCAGCCCATACTCATCCTGTGAGCGGCAGTTTATTGTGCAGCCCATACTCATCCTGTGAGGGGCAGTTTATTGTGCACCCCATACTCTTCCTGTGAGTGGTAGTTTATTGTGCACCCCATACTCAGCCTGTGAGTGGCAGTTTATTGTGCAGCCCATACTCATCCTGTGAGCGGCAGTTTATTGTGCAGCCCATACTCATCCTGTGAGTGGCAGTTTATTGTGCAGCCCATACTCATCCTGTGAGCGGCAGTTTATTGTGCTCCCCATACTCATCCTGTGAGCGGCAGTTTATTGTGCACCCCATACTCATCCTGTGAGCGGTAGTTTATTGTGCAGCCCATACTCATCCTGTGAGCGGCAGTTTATTGTGCAGCCCATACTCATCCTGTGAGTGGCAGTTTATTGTGCAGCCCATACTCATCCTGTGAGCGACAGTTTATTGTGCAGCCCATACTCATCCTGTGAGTGGCAGTTTATTGTGCAGCCCATACTCATCCTGTGAGCGGCAGTTTATTGTGCTTCCCTTACTCATCCTGTGAGTGATAGTTTATTGTGCAGCCCATACTCATCCTGTGAGCGGTAGTTTATTGTGCTTCCCTTACTCATCCTGTGAGTGATAGTTTATTGTGCACCCCATACTCATCCTGTGAGTGGTAGTTTATTGTGCTCCCCATACTCATCCTGTGAGTGATAGTTTATTGTGCACCCCATACTCATCCTGTGAGTGATAGTTTATTGTGCTCCCCATACTCATCCTGTGAGTGGTAGTATATTGTGCAGCCCATACTCATCCTGTGAGTGGTAGTTTATTGTGCTCCCCATACTCATCCTGTGAATGATAGTTTATTGTGCTCCCCATACTCATCCTGTGAGCGGTAGTTTATTGTGCTCCCCATACTCATCCTGTGAGCGGTAGTTTATTGTGCAGCCCATACTCATCCTGTGAGCGGCAGTTTATTGTGCAGCCCATACTCATCCTGTGAGTGGCAGTTTATTGTGCAACCCATACTCTTCCTGTGAGTGGTAGTTTATTGTGCACCCCATACTCAGCCTGTGAGTGGCAGTTTATTGTGCAGCCCATACTCATCCTGTGAGCGGCAGTTTATTGTGCAGCCCATACTCATCCTGTGAGTGGCAGTTTATTGTGCAGCCCATACTCATCCTGTGAGCGGCAGTTTATTGTGCTCCCCATACTCATCCTGTGAGCGGCAGTTTATTGTGCACCCCATACTCATCCTGTGAGCGGTAGTTTATTGTGCAGCCCATACTCATCCTGTGAGCGGCAGTTTATTGTGCAGCCCATACTCATCCTGTGAGTGGCAGTTTATTGTGCAGCCCATACTCATCCTGTGAGCGACAGTTTATTGTGCAGCCCATACTCATCCTGTGAGCGGCAGTTTATTGTGCAGCCCATACTCATCCTGTGAGCGGCAGTTTATTGTGCTTCCCTTACTCATCCTGTGAGTGATAGTTTATTGTGCACCCCATACTCATCCTGTGAGCGGTAGTTTATTGTGCAGCCCATACTCATCCTGTGAGTGATAGTTTATTGTGCTCCCCATACTCATCCTGTGAGTGGTAGTTTATTGTGCTCCCCATACTCATCCTGTGAGTGATAGTTTATTGTGCACCCCATACTCATCCTGTGAGTGATAGTTTATTGTGCACCCCATACTCATCCTGTGAGTGATAGTTTATTGTGCTCCCCATACTCATCCTGTGAGTGGTAGTTTATTGTGCAGCCCATACTCATCCTGTGAGTGGTAGTTTATTGTGCTCCCCATACTCATCCTGTGAATGATAGTTTATTGTGCTCCCCATACTCATCCTGTGAGCGGTAGTTTATTGTGCTCCCCATACTCATCCTGTGAGCGGTAGTTTATTGTGCAGCCCATACTCATCCTGTGAGCGGCAGTTTATTGTGCAGCCCATACTCATCCTGTGAGTGGCAGTTTATTGTGCAACCCATACTCATCCTGTGAGTGGTAGTTTATTGTGCACCCCATACTCAGCCTGTGAGTGGCAGTTTATTGTGCAGCCCATACTCATCCTGTGAGCGGCAGTTTATTGTGCAGCCCATACTCATCCTGTGAGTGGCAGTTTATTGTGCAGCCCATACTCATCCTGTGAGTGGTAGTTTATTGTGCACCCCATACTCATCCTGTGAGTGGCAGTTTATTGTGCAGCCCATACTCATCCTGTGAGCGGCAGTTTATTGTGCAGCCCATACTCATCCTGTGAGTGGCAGTTTATTGTGCAGCCCATACTCATCCTGTGAGCGGCAGTTTATTGTGCTCCCCATACTCATCCTGTGAGCAGCAGTTTATTGTGCACCCCATACTCATCCTGTGAGCGGTAGTTTATTGTGCAGCCCATACTCATCCTGTGAGCGGCAGTTTATTGTGCAGCCCATACTCATCCTGTGAGTGGCAGTTTATTGTGCAGCCCATACTCATCCTGTGAGCGACAGTTTATTGTGCACCCCATACTCATCCTGTGAGCGGTAGTTTATTGTGCTCCCCATACTCATCCTGTGAGTGGTAGTTTATTGTGCACCCCATACTCATCCTGTGAGCGGCAGTTTATTGTGCACCCCATACTCATCCTGTGAGCTTCAGTTTATTGTGCAGCCCATACTCATCCTGTGAGCGGTAGTTTATTGTGCACCCCATACTCATCCTGTGAGCGGTAGTTTATTGTGCACCCCATAC